AATTAAAAGAGTTTTAGCCGTTTTTGCGTTGGTTAATGCTGATTAATCAAGGCAGCCATTTCAACTGTATCCAGTGACCACTTCCTGAAAAGTTCTTTTGAATTTTTCTGGTGGTTCATGAGATATTTTGATAGCACATGCACACAAGCAAACAACATTTACATAAGCCAAAAATCATTTTAAAAAATTGAAAAGCATCCATTTCTTTATAATGTAGTTTAATTTTATGCACAAATATGTGATGCAGCTGAAAACGCAGCACGTCCAAGAATTAGAACAATATTTTTTTTTCTTTAAATGTTTGACCCTCTTTGTTTGATTCCTGCTATATGAGCATTAACATCAATATGCTCAAAGAAAGAAGTTTCTCACTGATAAAAATCCAAATGATAGCTCCACAGATCAAACCTCTGCCAAACCACATGACTCAAATCTACAAAACCACAAAAGAAAGCATTACGACTCGCAGACCAAAATTTAATTCAAAAATAAGTTTTATTATGAGCTATCAAAGGCGAAACGGCAATAACATCTTTACCCGTGTCTGGTTTGCCTTTGTTTGTAGCGTTAGCAAAATATCTCATGAAGCACTGGCTGTGTTTTAATGAAGCTTGCTGAAATTTAAACATAGGCTGATCTCCTCAACATTTGGATTCATCCCAACACAAGATGACTGCAATAAGCAACCTTATCAAACACACAAAAATGGATATAATTCAATAAATTATACAAATATTTGGCTAAAATGTGGCGGAGCTGAGAACTAACTGAGTGCTACGAGAGATAGCACAATATTGCATGAGAATATGCATCATTTACAAGGTTTGATGAAAACGGCTATAACTGTCCCTATTCAGCAAAAGTTATTAATTTAAAACTGGGATGAAACATGGCGAGCAACATGCGTTTCTTAAAGGAATTCCTTGCAGAGTTTTAACGCCTGTTGGCTCTACAGTCGACATGTCAGTGTCACGGACGGCATGCTCGCTCCCTCAGACATTTCTACTATGTAGTAATTCACAACATAGTGTCTTGAGTCACATGGCATGAGTAAATATAGTCTCCTTAGGCCTGTGGGGAGATCGAACAGGAATCACTTTTCAAGCAGACACTCGCAGCTCTATGTAGGGGAGGAATTTCATACGAGGGCTGGCTTTTTCTGCTCCGTTAAAGTGTATTTATAGCAGGTGAGTTGTGTGGCGTGGCCTTCTGAAACCTCGCCATGTTAAGCAACGCTGCGGGCTGCAGAGGTGGAGCCAAATATGTCTGTCTATTCTATAGAATCTAAATATATCCAAAATTCTGGGTTCATGACAAAAATACTCATACCACAATCACACCACCACCAGACCTTAAAGCTTTAAAGCAAACAAACACAGCAACGTGTCAGTAACTTATACAGGAGGTTGTGTTCTGGTATTTCACTTTTAGATTTCAGGGTTTGATGCCGTTTGTCTTGATTTTCAAAGATCAGACATTCAAAGTATATATATATATATATATATATATATATATATTTGTTTGTTTGTTGCCATTTTTGACCAGAAACATCTTTCAAAACATATGAATTAATGTCAGTAGATTCATCATTTCATTGGTTTTGGGAAAACTGGCCCCAACAACTGAATGTAGCTCAGACTTTAAACAAAACATAAGCATTTATGGATATTGCATATAATGAATGAACTAAATATGAATAAACATTAGTATCCCTTAAGGGTTGTTTGTTACCAGGGGCTGGCTCAGAAAGTTTTATTTTAAGGGGTGACTATTCCCCCACCCTCCTTCTCAGCCCACCAGTTCCACCCACCAGTGGTTATCCAAGCACAGTTTGTTATCACAAAAATAAACAAGCAATGATCCAACATACACAACATTCAGAACACACATTTTATTCACTGGTGTCAAACTGAGGAGGTGACATGACTTTGTTGCTGTTTACTTTGAGTTGTGGGTGGAGCTTCAGTTTTATGCGGAGCTTGGATGTAGGTTTAAGGATTTGCAAAAACTGGTTACAAAATATCAAAAATACTTCATTAGTTCAAAATTATTAAAACCCTCTAGCAAAGGTCAAACACAATTATTTTTCCTTTCATGTTATGATAATAAGAAGACTCACAAGGCCACAAGTGAACGAGGACAGGCTGATTCTGGATGATCCTGATCCCCCAACTCCATGGTGAGATCAGGTTGATTCAATCTGGATGCAGGTATCTGCTGCCCAGATGTAGAACGAACAGACTGAAGAACTCATTCATTCCTGCAGCAATCAGACTTCTCACTGAACAATGAAGATTTCTGTACTGTTATTTTAATGTTCTAATGTCTTGTCTAGTATGGATGTTGTGTGTGTCTACTGACTGTGAAACAAATTGCCCCTAGGGGATAATAAATATTCTTGATATTGATGCAACACATAGATGAAAGCACAATATTAACTTTTAATCGAGAAACTTTCTTTGGTTCATATTGCCGGCAGTAAGTCAGACCCCTTCTGGGTGGGAGTTGGACTCCGCCAGGGCTGCTTTTGAGTGAGAGAGTCTGGGTTAGTGACTTCAGGATTCTGTCTCTGCTATTTGCAGATGGTGGTGTCCTGTTGGCGTCATCGTGCCGTGACCTTCAGCTCTCATTGAAGTGGTTTGCGGCTGAATGTGAAGTGGCTAGGATGAAGATCAGCACCTCCAAATCTGAGGCCATGGTCCTTCGTCATAAAAGGGTGGATTGCCGTTTCTGGGTTGGGTGTATGGTTCTTGGGTGTGCAGGTTTTGTTCCAGAGTGAGGGGAAAATGGAGCATGAGATCGATAGACAGATCGGTGCAGCGTCTGCAGTATTGTGGACTCTGTGCCGATCCATTGTCGTGAAGAGGGAGCTGAGCTGCAAGGCGAAGCTCTCCGTTTACTGGTCGGTCTGCGTTCCTCACCTATGGTCATGGACTTTGGGTAGTGACCAAAAGAACGAGATTGTGATACAGGTGGTTGAAATGAGTTTTCTCCACAGGGTAGCTGGACTCTCCCTTAGAGATAGGGTGAGAAGTTCAGTTATCCAGGAAAGACTCTGGGCAGCAGAACAGATAAATTGTTAGTATTGTTGCCTCACAGCAAGAAGATTCTAGGTTTGATCCCCAGTTTGGACCTGAGGTCTTTCTGTGTGGAGTTTGCATGTTTCCTTCGTGTTTGTGTGGGTTTCAACCTGGGTACTCCGGTTTCCTCCCACAGTCCAAAAACATGCATTTTAGACTGCATTCAGGCCCAGGCCTCCTTTTCAAAAGAGATGTGATCTCAATGAGAGTTTCCTGATTAAATAAAGGTAAATAAAAAAATAAATACCGGTTATTAAATAAACTGAGTAGAGCCGCTGCTCCTCCACTTCCAGACGAGCCAGTTGAAGTAGTTTGGCCATCTGGTAAGGATGCCCTCTGGACGCCTCTCTAGGGAGGTGCTTCCAGCATGTCCGACTGGGAGGAGATCCTAGGGAAGACCCAGGACACACCGGAAAGACTGCCTCTCGGCAGGCTTGGGAACTCCATGGAGTCCTCCCAGAAGAGCTGGAAGAGGTGGCTGTGGACAGAGATGTCTGGGCCTCCCTGCTCAAGCTGCTGCCCCCACAACTCGACTCCAGAACAAGAGGAAAATAATGGATGGATAGAGAAATTTTATGTCCTGGTTTACTTAAAACAAAAGGATACCAGGTTAAAAATGAGGACTGGATAAATTTAATGATGCAAACTGTTGACAAATGTTATCTGTTACTAATTCATTCACGTTATTGAACTGGATTATAAACTAACTGAGACAAAATGTGTGCATCATACTATAAACCTGAATCTGGCTCTATTGGTCCTTGAACATTTGTCTTGAATTTGTGGTTTAAACCGAATTAAGGTAATAAAAATTATATTTCCTCCAGCTCAGGTAACACTTGGTGGGAGTTTACGTCAGAGTGAACATACTGAAAAACTAATGTAAAAACAAGATCAGGTGTAAAAGCAGATCTACAGTACTGTGATATTATGACCACAATCCTGCCCTGAATATGGTCCAGCTGAGTGACTCCTGACTACAGCTGTACCCAACTTTTTTCTAATGGAAATTGAGCCACCTTCTCAGAACTGATTAGTGTAAATGATCCTTAGTCGCGTTGGCAGGTAACACAACACAGATTATTATTCTGTGCTGCAGGGGTTTGTGTGCACTCTTCCTGTGTCATAAAACATTAAACGGGTGACTGTAATCCATACAGACAGCTAGATTGTCAGGGTGACAGACACCTGATGCTGAACGCATACCAACTAAACTCCTGCAATTCAGAAACAAAACTTAGATTTCAAATGCAAATAGTGAAATACAGATTATAAATTTTACATCTATGTTTAAATATTGTAATATAATGTGTGTGTTGTTCAAAGATTTATAGTTTATATATAATAATTTTACAAAATCTGTGATCCAGTAGTCCATTTGTGTCCTTCCTTTCCCATCTATATTTGCAAAAAAACAGTAAGCCTAAATAATAAAATCTTATACACAATATTGTCACAGAAATGTACTGTAATGTTTTATTAATACAACAATAAGTGCACCTGATGACTATTCATTTGACAGTACTTAGCCCAGTGTTTCAGTAACCTATGGCAACTGCCTCTGTGACAACAGAAATCTTGGACAGCTCCTGCAGTCCAGGACAGTGCAACACCATTGGCTGGTTGAATCAATGACTTGCAAACATGTTCATCCATTATGCATGCCAGTTCTCCTTTAGTGTGTTCTTGAACTCATTCTCAGGTATATGAAGCTGGTCGCTGGAAGCTAAAGGACAAGCTCTCATCTTGGTAAGTCATTTATTTCTTGATCAAGTTTTGGTTCCTTCACATGTCATCCCGGAATACACGACAATGGGCTGTATAGATGAGTAGACTATAAACAGTACAAAATAAAAGATTGACTGTCAAAAATATTTTTTTCTGGTTAAAGGACTCAGTGGAGCCTTGGCTGAGCAAACAATGGAACTAACTGGATCAACTCTGACAGCAATGTATGCTCGGCCAAAGACCAGCCACTTCCTCCCTGCCATCTCCACCATGGCATCCAGCTATCGCAACCCTCAGCAAGCCCTGGGGATGAATCCTGGTGCCAATATGTGGAGAACTAGCAACTATTACAAAAGCAGCAGCAGTCTACCATTGACTTCTCCCATACAGCGAGAAGATTTTGATTTGGTTCGAGCTAAGACCACAATGTACCCCTCCAACAGGAGCGCTCTGACAACCCGGTATACCCCCGACGACTGGTATAAGTCCAACAACAACAACTACCGGGAGTCTGAGTCCTCCAGGAAAAGCGCAGAGCGGCTCAGGAAGGACACCATTAGGTTGATGCAGGACAGAGAGCAGCTCACTAGACGAACACAGGAAAACACCAGCAAGAACATTGCGGAGAGGGTCAATGACATCGTATTCTGGAGGTCTGAGTTGACTCATGAGATTGACAACATGGTGACTGAGATAGCAGTACTCAATGAGGTGAAAAGGAGGCTGGAGAGAGCCTTGGCTGAGACTGAGGGGCCCTTACAGGTTAGAGTGAGGAGTTTTGTTTTTAGTATAAAAATCTATCTATATATTCTATATCCATATATTTAACTAAAACAAACAAATTGGGTCAGATCACCACTGATTCTAGCACTGTTTCATGTGTATCATATCTCAAGGAAGTCCTTTTTGGGGCAGCTGTGGCTGAGTGGTTAGAGCAGTCGTCTTCCAATGCAAGAGTTGGGGGTTGGATTCCACCAGCAGTCACATGCTGATGTGTCCCTGGGCAAGACACTGAACCCCTCATTGCCTCCGATGTGTGTCCCATCGGTGTATGAATGTGACAAAGCACCGATTAGTCTCTTTAGAATGATTTGTAAGTTAGCTTTGTAGAGATCTAGTAGAGTGCTGCACGAATGGGTAAATGAGGGCACAGATTGTAGTGTAAAGCGCTTTAAGTATCTCGGTAAGATAGAAAGGCGCTATATAAGTAGAGTCCATTTACCATTTACCATTTACCATTTACCGTTTTTTCTCTGTGGTTTCCGGCTTCTACTGAGTCAGACTTTTACTTAGGTTACCATAGCACCCTATTAGAGTGCCGGTGGTCATTTATGTCACACAAGGTGCATCTATCTGATCTAGCTGAAGATCAGATGACACAAAAACCTTACTGGTATAATATCATGTGGCAGAAGGTTTTCTTAGAGACTTCTCCAGGCAACTGAAACTAGAGCACACCCCTGATGCATTACAGTATAAATAAATTCAGGACTATGAAGTATGCGTTATCTAAAGAATGGTTAGCATCAACATTTTAAATGGGAGCTTATCACTGTTAGTGTTGCACGAAAACCGAAACTTTAAATTGTTAGATACTCATCTCAGTTTTTTGTTGTCACAATCATTTTTTCCATAGATGTCTCAAGAGTGTTTGTACCACAGAGAGAAGAGGATGTCCATCGATCTGGTGCATGATGATGTAGAAAAGGACCTAATAAAGGTAAAATAATAACAGTATACACTCACCACCCACTTTATAAGGCACACCTATTCAATTGAGTGGTCACACAAATAGCTAATCAGCCAATCACATGGCAACAGCTGAATGCATTAGGCATCTAGACACGGTGAAGATGACTTGCTGAAGTTTAAATCAAGCATCAGAATGGATAAGTCATGGGATTTAAGTGACTGGTTGTTAGTGCCAGATGGTCTGAGTGTTTCAGAAACATCTGAATTACTGGGATTTTCATGCACAACCATCTGCACAAAGTTCTAGAATTGCGCCGCTCAAGGTGGCTGCATGTTGGAGCAGCTCTGTTACTTTCATTCGGAGATTTTGCTTTTGGAAACTTTAATTCCTGGTTTTCTGGATGTAAATCCCATTTTTTGAATGATTGTTTCCTCTGGTATCAGATGCTGTGCAGCTGGAAGGATTTTTACTGAAACCTTTTTGGTTTTGGACATTTGTTATGATGCGTAACCATGGCAACAAGGCAGTTTTCTACAACAGCAGCTGAATAACATCTCAAAAGCTCAAATAATATCTCAACTATGGCCCCAACTCTCAAATGAGTTGAAAAGGATGTTCTGTGGACGCATTCTCATCTACCTGCCAGCTGTGCTCGAGTGCCTGATCACTGAGATCCTGGAACTAGCAGGAAACACGGCTCACGACAGTGGATAGACAGGATCGTCCCTCAGCACCTACAGTTGACTGTCCACAGCTATGAGGAGCTCAGCAGACTGCTGGGAGGAGTGGCCATCGCTCTGGGAGGAGTTCTGCCCAGCATTCAAGCGGTCCTACAGTCCAGGGGAACCGAGAGGTCAGCCGAGTCTGGGTGGACGGCATCTGCAGCCAGTTTCTTAGGATCCACTGTGGGATGGACCTTTACAAGAGATCCTTCCTGTCTGCAGCCATCAGCATCTATAACATCTCTTAATGAAATGAGGATAACGAGTTACAACAACAAAATAATTTCTCTTTGGGATTAATAAAGTATTGTTGAATTGAATTGTTGAATCGCCAGGCTTTACATAAATTAGTCCAAATAAGGAAATTATCTAGTGAGGGGAATTTGTGTGGATGAAAGTTCTTTGTTGATGTCAGAAAAAAATGGGCAAATTTGTTAACAGTGACAAAAAAAATCAATGGTACTTGTCACAACCAAGACATGGAAAATATAATCTCTGAACCCACACACATCCAACCTTCAAGCAGATGGGCTACAGAGGCAGAAGACCACTCTAGGCTCCACTCATGCCTGCTAAGAACCAGAAACCAAGGCTATAATTCACACAGGCTCGCCAAAATTGGAGGTTGCAAAACCATCGCCTTGTATGATTAATATTAAATTACTGGACTCTAACTGCCTCCACAGTTACCAGATCTCAGTTCAACTGAGAACCTTTGGAAAGTGGTGGAACAGAAGATTTGCTTCATGGATGTGCGACTGACAAATCTACAGCAACTGTGGGATGCTATAATGTCAATAGGAACTAAAATCTTTGAGGAATATTCTCAAGACCTTGGTGAATCAAGGCCACAAAGAATTAAGGCAGTTCTGAAGGCAAAATGAGGTCCAACCCAGTACTAGCAAGGTGTACCAAAAAAAGTTACGAGGGAGTGTATGTCTTTACTTCTAAAACCAAGCTGATAGCACATATACTGTAAGTCATAATTTGCTTTCTACCTTTGCTAAATCAAGGAAGTAGAAGTTATAAAGTCATGCCAGGAGAGGATGAGGCGCCATCTGGACAGAGCCATCGCACAGCTGGCGTAAGTCCCAATTACTGAATACTAATGTATTTGTAGGCATGAGCTTGTATTAGATGACAATGTTCAACACTGAAGTTTGGCATGGATTCATGTTTTTTGAGGTGTTCCTCAGGGCAAACCGAGCAGCCCAGCATGAGCTGGAAAAAGACCTGAGCGATAAAGTGACAGCGCAGAGGATTGACGACAAGTGTCACCATTTGAGAAACACATCGGATGGGATTGGCTATTACAGAGGGATTGACAGGATAGACTATTTGTGAGTATAAGACAAACTATGAACATTTTAATCTAATAAAATAAATAAATGTGAAATACTGACTGACAGTGGCATGGTGGTGCAGTTAGTAGAGCTGCTGCCTCCCAGCGAGAAGGTCGCCGGATTGAATCCAGGCCAGGGGGAAATTTTGGGTGGAGTTTGCATGTTCTGTCCGTGCACGCATGGGTTTTCTCCGGATACTCCTGTTTCCTGCCACAGACCAAAAACATGCAAGTTAAGCTGATTGGTAACAATTGTCCCTAGGTGTGTGAGAGTGTGAATGGTTGTTTGTCTCATTTGTCTCTATGAGTGTCCTGTGATGGACTGGAGACCTGTCCAGGGTGTCCCCTGCCTCTTGCACAGTGACTGCTGGATATGGGCACCAGTGCACCAGTGACCCCTGTGACCCGAAAAGGAAGAAGCGGGTAAAGATAATGGATGGATGGATAAAAGAGTTATGCCTCCTTTCTATTGTAATACTTTATAAATCCCTAAGACTCTACAGTCAGACGGCTGCCCTTTAAAGTAAAAGTGAATATGCTAAATTAAATTAGCATACCTTAAAAGAATGTAAGATGCTTTTGGTTCTGCATGCCAGAGTTAAAAAAAAATAGATCTTGTGCAATTTTTTTAGAGCTCAAAGTAGGTGTTGGGGATGACTCAATTACCACTACACCAAATTTTACCTTTGCATCTGTACAATTGACAACATTTTAGCCAATGTTGTGTTTGATAAGGTTGATTAGCTGTGGTGGCCATCTTGAATTACCGGTAGGTTAACTACTAATGTTAATCAGTTGTAGATGTACATCCAATTATTGTTTTCTGTGAGATTCAATAAAATCTTTCCAGTGATTCACATATATTTTGCTAATAGACAATTACACACATGAATATACACAGAAAAAGTACTATATTTCTACATCAGTGTGAGAGTAAAATGTAAAAGCACAGTTTCATCAACATGTTTGTTTTAAGGACAACTTGTAATATTTCCTTCAAATTTTAAATCTAAAGTTTGGAAAAACGCGGATTCTTTTAGAAGTCTGGATTAAAGTCTAATTGTACACTCTAGTGATGATAGATTAGGTGAAGTCTTTTGTTATCTGTTGATCTTTTCACTGCTACAACTTTGTCACAACTCTGCAAGGTCAAAGGTCAACAGCATTTATTGTCAGATTTATTGAAAAAGATTTACGACATTAGAACTGTTATAGAACATATTCCACTGAGAAACATGTAGCAAACATTTTATTCTGTAATTATAGAACAAATTAAAAGAATTGCCCCAAAATGTATTATCACATGAATGTCATGAGCAACCACCACTCAAACTACCCTGGTGCATCACATTTAAAATGTTTAACTCGTTGCATCTAGAGGTTGCTTTAGGAGAAAATAGCTTGCTTGTGGTTAGAAAAGCTTTTTAAAAATCCTCCGCACAAGCAGTAAGTTCATAAATACAACCAGAACACAAACATTCTGTAAATTTTATTCTGTTTCCCTGTTTTGTCAGAGTTTCTCTGCCGGACTCGTGGTCCAAATTCACAGACGACAATATCCTGCGCTCCCAGAGCGAGCGCGCTACCTCTCACAAGCTCAGAGACGAGATCGAAATCCTGCTGAGCAGCACATCCAACGAGATGTGGAACCAATTCAACAACGTCAACGTGGCCTTCACCAGCCGCATCTCTGAAACGTCCGACGCAAAGAACAGCCTGCAGGCACACCTGGCTAAGGTCACGCCCCCTTCTACACAAATTACTTAATACAAGTGTGGTTGTTCAACAAAAACATTATTATTAAACCGAGATCTGATAATATAATTTCATTTTTTCCTAAATAAAGTTTTGTTATTTAAACATCAGATTACTCTGGTTTCATAAAAACTATTACAGTCTGATATTTCTATTTAAAGGTGTGACTGAAAATTAAAGACAAAATTTATTGTTTCAAGTGTCCTGTTGACTAAAATTGCCTTTATTGGGGAAAACAGTAAGCGTACATTATTTTCATTAATTGTACATAAAAAGTATATTTTCTATGTTTTGGATTATCTGAAAATCGGTCATACAGAATGCAACAAATATCTTTACTGTGAGTAATATTAGCTAAAAAAAAGGGATATTTACCATTTTTATTGAATTATACACATATTTACTACAAAACAGTCTGTTCAAAAGTACCAGTAATAAACAGTCCTTTAGTTCTGAATACTTATCAATGAATTCAATTGTTCTGTAGGAAACTTGTATCCAGTTGGAGCATTTTTAACAGTGAGAAGAGCTGTAAAATGAGCCCATACAGCTCATTTACTGTCAGCTGTAAGAGCTGATCTGTTCTCTGCCGTTAAAGTATCACCATGTTTCGTTCTTTCACCCAGACTCTGCAGGAGATCTTCCAGACTGAGATGCTGATTGATTCTTTGAAGAAAGCTTTAAGAGATAAGGAGAGTCCTCTTAAAGTGGCCCAAACCAGGCTGGAGGAGAGGACACGAAGGCCTAATGTAGAGCTGTGCCGAGATAACCCCCACCACAGGTAAACAGTCAGCGGTCAAACATCAACCTAAGCACACTTAAAGCTGAGCTGTAGATTAAACCCGAATATGAACCCAATCCATGATCTGTACCTCGATAAAGAAGTCAAGGCAGATGGCTGACAAGCTTGAGTCTGGTTCTGCTACAAGTTTATTCCTGTTAAAAAGGGAGTCATTCCTTTCCACTGTCTCCAACCTGCTGCTTAGGATGAAGATTTAATTCAATGTTTTAGATTTTACTCACTAGCCTTTTAAATTGTATGTTTCAGTACAGTGCCCTGAAATTACTTCAGTTGTGAACTGGCTCTATATATATAAACTCAAGTGTTTTACTGTTTGAATGCCATCTGTAATTATTAAAAACAGAGTTAAATGATAGGCTTTCTGACTGAAAACAAGTATAGCATGTGATCAAAAGTAATTTATTAAGATAAAAACAAAACAGTTTAAAGCATTGGCAACAGAAGCATTTGTAATGTGGGATGGACACCATGGTGTATGTGTGTAGGGGGTGTGGGGTTCTGTAGATGACATTCCCTGCATTCTGGCGTATTTTAACGGGTTGATACACGTCTACGTTTACCTACATAAGTAAACGTTTGATTCAATAACTATTTTAGAGAGCACGGCACAAGAAGTAGCCTGACCAACAGCTCTCCTTGTGTGAATACAGCACGCTCTGTTTCTCTCAAGCATCCTAGCCCCCGCCTGTCTGCCGGAACTAACGTAGCGCTAAGCTAGCGGTGCACAATACAGACGTGTTAGCTAAGATGCTACAGACTCCGCTTCTCTCACGCGTCCAAACGTCCCACCTCCATCAAATGCCAGCACTAACGCAGCGCTAAGCTAGTGCGCAAAACAAAGGTGTCTTCCCCTCCTTCCCCCGTGGGCGCCCTGCCAAGGCAGATGACCGAAACACTGCAAGCAGTGTGGAGTTGTAGGGAACCAAGAAAACTCGGAGTGGACTTTTAGTGGTTTAAGTATTCTTCTATTAATCAAGTGGAACAAATTATTTCACGAAGAAACAGAAACAGCGCTGGGTGAATTAATATTTCTTAGTAAATGTAAAGGGGGGGTGTCCGACTGAATTTTTTTTTTAATGTGGGGGGACACGCACATATAATTGTTGTGACGCCAATGGTCTAAACATATTATGATTCAAGTGGAGAGATCAGGCCACAAACTGTAAAACTGAACTCTCTGAGTTAAAAGTCTGGGTTCAACTAGTCCAAATTTCACCACCAACATATTTATTTAGAAGTGCACATCTTGATTTTCTTACTGCATAATGGAATCTAAATTAGAGCAGTTTTATATTTTAACACATGTTAAGGCACTGATTTATGTATCCATCCAAAACATGGTAACATTTAAAGTTGCTATAAGATTCATTGCAGCTTCAAGTTTCAAATGGTTCACAACATTTGCAGAGATTAAAAGAATCAAGGTGACTGCCTCCCTCTGTGGTTGTCTTCTCAGACTCGTGAGTGAGGTGAGAGAAATCGAGGACACCATCCATAAACTTCAGGAGAGACTGATGGAGGCAGAAAACACCCTGCAGACTCTGGTCAGGACTAAAGTCACCCTGGAGCATGACCTGTCCATCAAGGCCAACTCTCTGTTCCTGGACCAGGACAGGTGCATGAGCATGCGTAAGAGCTTTCCCAGCATGCCCCGGCTGGTGGGCTACACCTAGATCAGGTCTGAACATGGAGCCTCAGATGATTGGATACAAATCTACTTTGGGTTGTAGTGAATTTTGTATTTGAACAGTATTTTTATGGCTTGAATGTGAAAAGGTTGTGTTTGAATTTCAATTAAAAAATTAAAAAAAATACTATGAAGGTTTTAGTGACATTTTTTAAACAAACAAAAAAATGCATTTCTAACAAGCTTAAGTTAAAACTTAAACTTCTGGATAAAAGACAGCATGTTTCAACAAAGAAGAATCCATCCAGAGGATCCGACTCAACCTTGTTAGATTTATCTACCTGGATTATCGAGCAGCATCAGAGTAAAAACGCATTGTTCAAAACACCTCCTTATTGTTCTCACTGACAAATCCTCCACAGAAAAGGCTTTAAGTTTACACAAATCTCTTCCTAAATCATTTTGTTACTATTAAAAGATAAAGGCAACAACCTTAAAGCAGCCACTGAAGACATATTAGATATTTTAATAATATTTTTTTTTTAAAATAGCGAACTTCAACCCCAACTGTAGTAATAATTTTAAAATCCAAACCCAGAAACCCCCACCCAATTTATTATTATTATTTTTTTTTATGAAGTGGGCCAGATTGAAGTCACCTGCGAGCTGGAAATGGCTCATGGGCCATTAGTTGAATAGCCCTGCTCTAGACGGTGAAAATGTCCTTAGTAAATACAAGTGTGTGTGTGTATATATATATATATATATATATATATATATATATATATATATATATAGTCTTGACATAGGACATTAGAACAAGCCATAACCATGTTCATATTAGGCTACATGTTTGTGTTATATAGTTGTAATCACACAAGTTTATTCTAAGGTTTATAATCTTAATGTAACGACATAAATGTGCTTTATCCCCACCTAAATCAGAATAGGGAACCTTCTAGTATAATAGTCACAGTTTACCAAAACAAAAACAGTGATATCCTGATGCATGCTCAATAATCCAGGTAGGAAAATCTAGAACTGGTCCTCAGGTTAAAAAAACAAACAAACAAATTGTAGAAACATTTCGTCTTCCTTCATGATGAAGTCTTTCGGATGAAAGACGAAACATTTCTACAATTTTTTTTTGTTTGTTTTTTGAACATCCAGAGGACCTGACTTAACTTTGTTTTACAAAAACAGTGGTGTTTGAAAAGTGCTTTAAGGTTGTGACTCACTAAACAGAGCGTATCACTCCACGTCACTTCTTTACATGCAACTGTAACAGAAATTGTAAAAAAAAAAAAAAACAACATTGTCTTTGTATTTTTTATTGACTTGTGGTCCATCGCCTCACTCCAAGGACAAGCTGAAGAGTTTATACAAAGTCACACCCAAGCTTTAAGACATAAACCTTATTCTTTTCATGAACTCTGGTTCTGCCCCCTCCTCATGTTCTCTGGCTTCTTCCTGCCTCTGCAGTCAGACGTATAATGTCTTGCCTGCATTGCTGGAGTATCAATTTCCCTTTGTGCTTTATTTCCTTCAGAAAACACCTTTCAGAGCCCGTCTGAGAATCTGAACACACACAAACTGTAAACAGTACCATCACACTCTTTGACCCAACCCCGTCACTATCACACTTCCTGCACAACCTTTGGATTGAGAGAGGAATGCAAACGAGCTGAAAACAACCATAAAAGTCCAAGTTTTAACAGAATCAAAACAAACATCACCAGGCTGCGTGAATTTACAGGTTCAGATTGATAAAAAAAAAAACATCATTCCATTTTCTGAAGCTGCATTATGATTTAGCTGTAATGTTTGACAACTCTTCTTATCTCAGTAAGCTGCAGAGCCGTCTGCTGTGCCAACAGAACCGTGTTTGATTACAACATTACTGTAAAACCAGGATCGCACAAGGGAGTCTCCAAACTGTCTAAACGTTGGCCGGGCTTAGAAATCCTTGTTTCTTTAGTCTGTTTTATGCGAATACCAGTAAATATGAAATATTTAATCAAAAGACGTTTTATTATTTTCATGCTGTACCTACATATTTATAATCATCAGAAATCGGAAGCATTTTGTTTGCTTATTATTCTCATAAATATCAGGGGTGAATAAAATGCATTTACTGTATTTTCCAGCGTATAAGTCGCATCAGTCAAAAAAAAGCGTCATGAAGAGGAAAAAACATACAAGTCACTTGGGTGTACGTCACATTTATTATGCATCACTGATGACCCGACACATTTATTTAATGGTCCAAACAGCTTCATTTCGCCTGGACGGTCATCCATCCATCAATCCATGCATCCATTGTGGCTGGAGCCCCTAGCTCTCCAGCGTTCCTCCGCCTGCACCAGCTGAGTAAAGCGAGCACGCACGAGAGGACTTGTTGCAGTTCTTCAAAATTTAACAAAGATTAACACTTAAAAACAATTATTTGATTGTTCGACATTATAGCAAAGGTGTCTCAGTTTAACTTTCGCTTAATAAATGCACTTTAACGGTCAAAACAGTTTAAGTTCACCTGGGCGGTGCGGCACCATCCATCCATCCTTCCATCCATCCATCTTGGCCAGAGCAGCTAGCTCTCCAGCGTTCCTCCGCCTACACCAGCTGAGTGAAACGAGCACGGAGGACTCGCCGTTGCAGTTTTTTTTTAATTTTTTTAAAGCATCAGTCAAAAATTGCATTATGAATACGAAAAAAAAACAACCATATACAAGTTGCTTCAGCGTATAAGTTGCAGGACTGACAAATCTATGCAAAAAAAACTGCAACTTAAATGTTGGAAAATACGGTACACAAGGTTTAAGTTAGTATACAAGAAGCAGAGTTACGTAACATTGTTTTGAGCTTGAAGAGTGCACGCTTAGGTTTCTGTGCATGCATCAATCAGAAAAGACCAGAGATCAACCGGACCTCAGGGTGGCGCCTGCAGTCGGATACTTCGAGGCTACAGCCCTGAACATTTAGGTGTAAACACCAAGCTGATGGAAGTGAGTAATTATATGCACAGCCTAAAATATACAACAAAAAGTGACGTAAATCTGAATTGAGGTGCTAGTTCTTCTAGATGGAACATAAATGTGATCCCCTCTAATGCCCCCACATATTGAGAATGTACTCTGAAATTCTCTCTGCAGTCCAAACATATTGGCAGTTTATTTTTAACCCTCAGTGCTTGATTTAGGTTCCCTGCGCCCAGTTATTTTACGTTTCTTACATACCGACATACACAGAGCGATGGAGAGCTGATGGGAGCGCACTTGAGACGAGCGTCAGTCACGCAGAGATTCTTTGCACTTTTTTTTTTTTTTTTTTGCCGCTACATCTTATGAGAAAACATCAAACGCACAGAGACAGCCAGTGAACATAAGCAAATGGACAACTGTGGTAGTTTTCTACTCAACTATTAAAGGTAGCTAACATGTCATCACTGCAGCCTGATGCAGAAAATATTTTTATTTTAAATCCATCTTGATATTCTTGCATGCAGGAAATGGATCTGACTTTCTAAGACAAGCAGTGCAGCGATGTCCCCCATCGCTGAGGGCCTTCAATAGTGAATGTTTAAAGTTCTTGAGATGAGTGTTTTTCTGCACTGGAACTGAACAGGAAATGCAAGTAAACCTTAATGTCTTTGATGCGAGATGTTCAAGTAGGTAGGAGTTACACTGTGTGTAAGAACAGAGTTGTTGTTTTTTCCTACTTGTCCAAGGCAGCTCAGACTGGCTGATCCTGGAGTTTTATCATTTTATCCACCACCAGACACAATGGCAGAGCCAGAGGGTGGATAGTGGTGGTTTTGACAACCACAGATTAATCTTTGGTTTATCGGATCGAATCCCAGCCGAGGCCTTTCTGGGTGCAGTTTCCATGTTCTAACCGTGCATGCATGGGTTTTCTCCAGGTACTTCGGTTTCCACACACAGACCAAAATCATGCATGTTAGACTGATTGGTAATTCCAAATTGTCCTTGACTTGCGACTTGTCCAGGGCATCCCCCGTCTCTCACACAATGACTCCTGGATATAGACACCAGTGAACCCTGTGACCCAGAAAGGAAGAAACAAGATAATGGATGTCCAACAATGTTCAATCAGTTCATCTGGACAGTTCCGTTTTTTTTGTTGAGGCGTTTCGCCCTCCATCCGAAGGGCTTCATCAGTCTGAGAAGTCACATACAAACTATTTCCCCACCAATCAGTACACTCCTACAGTAGACCAACCAGTTCGTTGGTGATAAGATTGTTTCTGGGGGCTGTCCTCTCCCTCGTCGACTCCTCCCAGGCAGCCACAGCCAAAGTGGTTCAAGACATCAAAGTTCATGCTCAATAATCCAGGTAAAGACATCCAACAATATTCAGTCATCCAAGATAATGGATGGTGAAAACATCCTTAGTAAATATATATATTATATATCTCTCACCATATATACTTGCATATATATGGTGGTGGCCATCTTGGATTTTGACATGGCAACCCAATTTTCGATAGTGACATTTCGTACATCTACATGCAGCCGCAAACCTAAATGGAAATCGGTACGTCAAGTTATCCAGCTCACAAGACAGATGAACGGACGAACAGAGGGAATGTCCAATTCCTTTCTTCGCTTTGTAACGAGGGACAAAAAAATAAAAAAGCTTCTGAAATACGTTCATTTACAATAAATGCGTAAAAAAATCACCACTTATCTGTAATCAGAAGGACCGGTGATACGAGAGCAACTAAATCAATAAGAAACACTTTGAGTGTTGGAGGTATTGATGATGTTGCTTTTCCTATTATCAATAATATTTATCTGGATGAACTCTGCTGAGCAGATAAACAGCTCGTGTCGATCTACAAACTAAACATTCATGGGAACCATTGCTGTTTTTGGATCAGCTCCAAAACTTTGAGTTTCCGGAGGCTCCTCAGCCACTCCATCACAAGCTTGTGAAGTTTGTCTATTATTAGACGGGTCCACAACAAGAACGGAGCAGGAATCTGTAGCAGAACGGTTCTAGTAGTAACTGTTACGAGTTAAAGGA